AAAGGGAATAATGCCTCCCAACTTATTCTATCCAGCCTGTCTGGTTAAACTCCACGATTTAATAAGCAGATTACTGGGCCCAGGAAGCCCTTTCCTTTGCTCTCATGACATGAAGTTACCAAATCAACGCGGTCCCTAAGGAAAGAGGAGGGCATTTGCAAGGCAGACCAAGAGAAGGCGAGAAGGAAGAAAAGCCAAGCGGGGAGAGGGAGGAAGAGGACACGGAAAGCACAGGTGCATTTGGTAAAAGGGCGCTCTGCACTTGGCCAGGAAAGTTCCCTTCAAAAGCACCATCAAGGGAAGGAAAGTTGTGTAATGAGCTCTCAAAGTTTCATTCATGTACACATCTTAGTTTGTGGGTTGAACTCCAAATGATGCAGGGACCAAGCTTACATCCACCATCTATCTATCTATCTATCTATCTATCTATCTATCTATCTATCCATCCATCCATCCATCCATCCATCCATCCATCCATCCATCCATCCATCCATCCATCCCTCAGTCCACATCCATCCATATCTCTCCACCCATCATCCCCCCCTCTCAATTATCTATCTATCTATCTATCTATCTATCTATCTATCTATCTATCCTTCCATCCCTCTCCATCCCTCTCCATCCATATATCTATCCATCCAACAAACCATATCTATCAATCGATCCATCTTTCTGCCTTGGGTTCTATTGGACTCTCTTTTTCTGAAGGGTTTCAAGCAAAGGCTGGAGGACCATCTGTTAGGAGGGATTGTACTTTCCTGCTGGGGAGAAGAAGGTTGAACTGGATGCCTCTGTGGATCCCTTCCAACTAGGATTTGATGATGATGGTGGTGGTGGTTGGATGGTCATCTGTCGGGAGGTCTTTGGCAGTGTCTTCCTGCCTGGCAGAAGGGGATTGGACTGGATGGTCTTTAGGAGTCTGGTGGAGCCCCCTTCTCTGGAGGTTTACAAGCAGAGGCTGGGCATGGCTATCTGTTGGGAGGGCTTGGATTGTGTTTTAATGTCTGGCAGAAATGAGGTTGGATAGGATGGTCCTTGGTGGTGCCTTCTAACTCTAGGATTTGATGATGGTGATGATGATGATGATGATTGATGGTGCTTTTTCTGCCTGACAGAATGGAGTTGGACTGGATAGCTTTTGGGGTCCCTTCCAACCCTAGGATTCTGTTATGATTATGATTGATTATACTTTTCTTGCCTGGCAGACTGGATGGCCTTTGGGGATCTCTTCCACTACCAGGACTCTTCTTCTTCTTCTTCTTCTTCTTCTTCTTCTTCTTCTTCTTCTTCTTCTTATTATTATTATTATTATTATTATTATTATTATCTGTTTACATGTACATAACAACACAGCATGCATGCACATTAGGTCCAAGTGTCTGGGATACATGGCATACATCTATTATTACGGCTGCTGCTGCTGTTGTTGTTATTACTACTATTATTATTGGCAGTGCTTTTCCTACCTGGCAGAAATGGGGTGGACTGGATGGCCCTTGGGGTTAAAGATTTTCCCCTGACATTAAGTCCAGTTGTGTCCAACTCTGAGAGTTGATGCTCATCTCAATTTCTAAGCTGAAGAGCCGGTATTGTCCGTAGACACCTCCAAGGTCATGTGGCTGGCATTACTGCATGGAACCCTGTTACCTTCCTGCTGGAGAGGTACCTATTGATCTACTCACATTTGCATGTTTTCGAACTGCTAGGTTGGCAGAAGCTGGGGCTAACAGCAGGAGTTCACTCCGCTTCCCGGATTCAAACCTTCTAACTCTAGGACTCTATTATTACTATTATTTCTATTATTAAGCAGAGGCTGGATGGCCATCTACGGGGAGGAATTGGATTGTGCTTTTCCTGCCAGGCAGAATAGGGTTGGACTGGATGGTCTTTGAGGTGTCTTCCTGCTCATAACTCTAGGTCCATAATGGCGAACCTATGACACGTGTGTCAGCACTGACACCCATAGCCATTTTCGATGACACACAACCGCATGTGGCCGCATACAGAGAAGATGGGGCCGCATCCCAAGAAGGACATTTCATCCTCGGCTCCTACACCAGCATTTTTCTATAATGACGAGATATATGGCATTATAGAAAAAGCAGGTAAGTTAAATAATTAGTTTTTGGTTTATTAAATACAGTTATATATTACAACAATATATTTTTGTTATTAAACTATAAATATCATGAAATTATGTTTTTTTTTCTTGAAGTGACACCCCACTCGAGTTATGCTCAGTTTTTTGGCAAGTAGTGACACACCAAGCTCAAAAGGTTGCCCATCATTGCTCTAGGTTAACTCCCTTTCTAGAAATCCTTTCCAAGAGTCTCTGTGCTGCCTTGGGGCTTGATTTGGGGAGTGCCCACTGCATGCTGCCCCTCTGCTCCTTGTGCCCCTTGTTTTGCAAAACTCAAGCAAAGTTCCTCCATGGAAAGCAGACAACTATTTTGGTATGCAAAACACTAAGCTTTGCTAAGGAGCTTATGGACTGCAGGCGAGCAAATGAACAAACGAACAAAATGCTTTCTGCCTTGCTCTCCAAAAAAAGGACAGCCTCACCTCGCCTAGCCATTCGCACTTGCTCTTTGAGTCACAGAAGAGTACGACCCTGCCTTTCCCTTCTTCTTGACCTCTTCTGTTTGATCTGCTCCTTCCAGCAAACAATATATGGTCCTGGATCAGGACCTCTTTGTAGAAGTCCTGCAGGCAAAAGGAAAACTTGAGGCCAGAACCTTTATCTATTCCTGGCATTGGGCAACCCTTCATCCGACTGAGATGCTTGCCTGCCCCCTCCCTCCCTCCCTCCCTCCCTCCCTTCCTTCCTTCCTTCCTTCCTTCCTTCCTTCCTTCCTTCCTTCCTTCCTTCCTTCCTTCCTTCCCTTCTTCCTTTGTCCCTCACTTTCTTCCTCTGCAACTGTTCGTTTTATTTAAAAAATTTCCCCTTAATATCTCCCATCAGTTCTCATTTCCAGCTGCAGGGAAGGAATTAATAATAATAATAATAATAATAATAATAATAATAATAATAATAATAACCCATGGGGACCAGTAAACGATGAATAAGTAACAACAACAGCAACAACAATCTATATAAATAAAATTTAATGTTCATTTTTGGGATTAACAGAACTCAAAAACCGCTGGACAAATTGACACCAAATTTGGACACAAGACACCTAACAACCCAATGTATGTCCTTCACTCAAAAAAATTGCTTTTGTCATTTGGGAGTTGTAATTGCTGGGATTTATAGTTCACCTACAATAAAAGAACATTCTGAACCCCACCAACGATGGAATTGAACCACACTTGGCACACAGTTCTCCTATGCCGAACAGAAAATACTGGAAGGGTTTGGTGGGCAGTGTCCTTTGGTTTGGGAGTTGTAGTTCGCCTACATCCAGAGATCACTGTGGACTCAAACAATGATGGATCTGGACCAAACTCTACATGAAAACTCAATATGCCCAAATGTGGAGTTTGGGGAAAATAGACTTTTGACATTTGGGAGTTGTAGTTGCTGGGATTTATAGTTCACCTACAATCACAGAGCATTCTGATCCACACCAAGGATAGAATTGGGCCAAACCTCTCACACAGAGCCCCCATGTGGGCCACAGCAACGTGTGGCAGGGGACGGCTAGTCTATATAAATAAAAATGTAATGTTTGTTTGTGGGATTAACATAACTAAAAAACCACTGGACGAATTGACAACAAATTTGGACACAATACACCTATCAGGTCAACGAGTGACCATTACTAATAAAAACACTGGAAAACACAGCAGAAGAGACTTATAAAGCCAAAAAACAAAAATTACATTACAATGCATGCACAAAACCATATATATATATGCAAACACACATAAACACAAATATATACACACACATATACACACACAAAACACATATACACAGACTGGGCCACAGCAATGCGTGCCAGGGGACGGCTAGTAAAGAATATGTAAGTTCTCAGTTAACTAGTACCCATGGAGATTGGTAGATATTGGAGTAATAATAATAATAATAATAATAATAATAATAATAATAATAATAATAGCTTTTCAGTTAACCCATGGCACCCATGAACATGTTGGAGTAACAAGAATAAGAGTAAAGATGATGTAAACTTTCAGTTAACAGCTAGCCATAGGGATTGGTAGATGTTGGAATAATAATAATAATAATAATAATAATAATAATACAATAGCCTCTCAGTTAACCCATGCCACCCATGGAGATTGTAGATGCCATTATCATTATTACATTAGATTCTCAGTTAACCCATGGCACCCATGCGGATTGGTAGATGTCATAATAATAATAATAATAATGCATCACTTTTAGTGTTGTTAGCTGCTTAGCTTCTCCTTTTAGAGAGATGAAGCGAGATATTATTATTATTATTTTGTTTTTCTTTTAATTATTACACATTTCTTTGCAAATGTTTTGCTGTTTGCTTGCTTTTTGCTTTTTTGTTTCTTTCCTTTCTCATAGAATCCTAGAGTTGAAAGGGACCCCAAAGAGGGTCCTTTATGCAGTCCAACCCCCTTTATTCTGCCAAGCAGGAAAAGCACAATGAAAACCCTCCCGACAGATGGCTGTGCAGCCTCTGTTTCAAAGTCTCCAAAGAAGGAGATTCCCCCGGACTAACAGGCCCTTCCACACAACCACATAACCCAGAATATCAAGGCAGATAATCCACAATATCTGCTTTGAACTGATTTATCTGAGTCCACACTGCCATATAACCCAGTTCAATGTGGATTTTATGCAGCTGTGTGCAAGGGGTCTGAGGCAGAGAGTTCCACTGTTGGATAGTGATCAGGAAGTGCTTCCTAATGTTCAGGTAGGAAAGTGAGGAAGTGCCCTTTCACAATTAAAGGCAATCCAAGGAACAGACGGCACTGGCCAGCAAGGCTTTGGACACACTGGAAAGGTCACAAGTGTTGCCCAATAAGAGTGTGTTGCCCACCCCACCCCCAGTCCCACTCACTGGTCCGGCTGGCGCTGTCATTCCCATTCTCGTAGCCCATGCGCCCGCCTTCATCTGTGTCGGACCGGTCCTGCCGCTCGTAGTGCCTCTCACCCTCCGTAGCCTTGTCCCGGCTGGACACTGACCGCCTCCGGCGCCGCTTCCTCCGGTATCCGCGGGGGACAGGAACCCCAATGTAGATGGAGTGGAAGTCTGGGTCCAGAGGGAGGGAGGAAAGCAACACAGAAAGAAAAACCAGCTGAGCATGAACCCTCAATGTGATGCAGCAGCTCAAAGGACCAATGGGATTTTGGGTTGTATCAGAAAGAGTGGAGTATCCAGGTTGAGGGAAGCTATGGTGCTCCTCTCTATTCTGCTTTGGTCAGACCTCTTTACCTGGACAATTGTGCCATCACTGCTCAAGCAAGGGAGCTTTGAAATGGTTGAACAGAAGCTCTCCAAAGCTGCTCTTACTGCCTATCATAGGGGAAACCAGCTGATTCTTAATCCATCTAAAATGCAGACATGTGCTTTTCATCTTAAGAACAGACAAGCCTCTCGAGCTCTGAGGATGACCTGGGAAGGAATCCCACCGGGGCATTGCAGCACACCAAAGCACCTGGGAGGAGTCACTCTGGACTGTGCTCTGATTTACAAGAAACACTGTTTGGATATCAAGCAAAAAGTGGGTGCTACAAACAATATCATACGAAAGCTGAATGGCACAACCTGGGGATCACAACCAGGCACGGTGAAGACATCTGCCCTTGCGCTATGCTACTCTGCTGCTGAGTATGCATGCCCAGTGTGGAATACACCTCACCACATTAAAACAATGGATGTGGCTCTTAATGGCACATGCTGCATTATCACAGGATGCCTATGCCTGACGCCGCTGGAGAAATTATCCTGTTTGTCGAAGGCTTTCATGGCCGGAATCACTGGGTTGTTGTAGGTTTTTCGGGCTATATGGCCATGTTCTAGAGGCATTCTCTCCTGACGTTTCGCCTGCATCTATGGCAAGCATCCTCAGAGGTAGTGAGGTCTGTTGGAACTAGGAAAATGGGTTTATATATCTGTGGAATGACCAGGGTGGGACAAAGGACTCTTGTCTGCTGGAGCTAGGTGTGAATGTTTCAACTGACCACCTTGATTAGCATATAATGGCCTAACAGTGCCTGGAGCAAACTTTTTGTTGAGAGGTGATTAGATGTCCTTGTTTGTTTCCTCTCTGTTGTTGTGCTGTTGTTTTATTATTCACAAACACCATGTCAGACTACACAGAGAAGCCATTGAAATCCACAAGCATGTGGACAATTTCAACAGAAAGGAGGAAACCATGAAAATGAACAAAATCTGGCTACCAGTATTAAAAAACTCTAAAATTGCAACAGCACAACAACAGAGAGGAAACAAACAAGGACATCTAATCACCTCTCAACAAAAGTTTGCTCCAGGCAAGGGGTGTGGTGGTGGCTGAGTCATAACCATGTGAGGTGTATTGCAAAGGGGTGCAGTGTCCCTTACTGATGACTTATTAGCAGGTGGCAATATAAGGATGAAATAATCCATCTCTCTCTCTCCTGCATGACTCAGTGTGAGTATCTGCCTATGTTTGTGACTATCTGAGGATCTGAAATGGGATTGGAACAGTCATTTGTCCTTTACTGATGACCTATCAGCAGGTGGCTATATAAGGAAGGTGGAAGAATTCATCTTCCTCTCTCCTGTGTGACTCAGTGTGAGTATCTGCCTATGTTGTATGTAACTATCTGATGACTGATTGTTTGCAAGTACAAGGAATGAGGATCTGAGAATCCCGATTGTACATTTGCATATATTGCAATGGTGAAGATGATATGCTCTGGATATTTTGGATGAAAACCTGAATCCACGAGTTTACTAAACAGTGTGTAGATATGGTCAGGTGCTGCTGATAGACGGGCTGAAGCATATGTTTGCTATACTTGTGCTTGCTTCTGGAACACTTGCTATCCAGCTTGCAGTGGTTTGGGGACATAATTTGGAAATTATAAATCACTTCATGGACCAGCGTCCCGCAATAAGGATTATGGACCCAGTATCCCCCTCATTTGCAAGAGCTGTGTTTGCTTTACGGGAAAAAGTGGAAATTGTTGGGAAGATGCTGCACAGGAAGGAGAAGCTCACCCCAAAGAGCAAGTCTGCTTGCCTACCTTCCTCATCGTCGTATCTCATCCTGGAGGCATTGAGGCCCCGTTCGCTTATGGCATCTTCATCATCCATCATGACTGCACAACGGGTGCTTTGAAGGAATAATGGGCAATAGGGAAAAGGAGAGACATATGAAATGCTTCTTGCGCATCTACACGTTGAGCCTGGTTCCCCCTTCCATTGCCACTAAACCAAAGCAATATAATGAGAAAGGTTTTGAGCCATTCACAATGAAGTTCTTTCATGTGCCGCTGTGGGTCACTCTCAGCACAGAAGCAACTAAACTTCACCAGCTTCTTCTTTTTGCTTCACTTTAACACACAATGCCCAGCAAAACCCTAATGAATTGCTTGGGGTTTTTAAGGGTATTTTAATCTCCCCCAAAAGGGTGCATCTACACAGCAGTAGGAATGCAATCTGACACCACTTTAATTGTCATGGTTCAATGTTATGGGATCCTGGGAAATGCTTAGAAGCTCTTCTCTGCCAAAGTTTGCAAATTGCAACTCACAAGATTCTGTAGCATTGAGCCATATCACTTAAAATAGTGTCAAACTGCATTAATTCCACCATGAAGATGCACCCCTATGAAAATAATAATAATAATAATAATAATAATAATAATAATAATAGTATGGCCAGATGTTTAAAAAATTGTAGTTTCTAATGTCTGAGATAGAGACAACTGCATTAAAATAATAGTATCCCAGAGCTGGAAGGTGCCCCTAGAGGGCATCTAGTCCAGTACCATTCTGTCCAATCTAGCTTCCTTTTGGAGTTTTTGTCTCTGGAGTCGTCCACAGAAGGAGACCTCCAACTCTGCTCCAGGCCATCGAGGCCATCGCTAAATTGATCTCATCCTCCAAGGCAAATAAGGCCAAAACCCTGTATTATTTCCATAGAGCAGACCTATTGAATCAGTTGATGATGTAGGTAAATACCATTGATTCACTAGATCTACTCTAGTTTCAGACTGGCAATAAATTGGGACTAAGTTGCCGCATCATAAGTTGGTCACATCACCTGCCGGTTGTGAAATGTAGAGATAATGGTAGCATTTGCTAACCATCCATCTCTTTATCTGTATGTTGCTCTATCTATCTAACTATCATCTATCTATCTATCTATCTATCTATCTATCTATCTATCTATCTATCTATCTATCTATATCCCTCCCTCCACCCATCCCACCATCCCTCGCTCCCTCCCTCCATAATCTTTCTCTGCCTCTATATCCACCCATCCATCCACTCAATCCACCCATTATTTCTATCTAGATGTATCTATCCATCTTCCTTCCTTCCGGCCTACCTACCTACCTACCTACCTACCTACCTACCTAATCCATTCTATCTATCCCATCTATCTACTGTATATACACGAGTATAAGTCTAGTTTTTCAGCCCTTTTTTGTTGGCTGAAAAAGTCCCCCCTTGGCTTATATTCGAGTCAAGGTTATTTATTATTTTACCCTGTTAGAAATACATAATACATGTTTTGTTATTGTTACTGTTGTTATTATTACATTGATCATTCTACTTTATTATTGTTTTTATTATGCCTATTCTTACTGCCTATTGTTATTGTTATGGTCATTTTAAAGCTAATTGTATCGTTTTAATCAGTTTTTGTAAACCGCTCCGAGCCAAATTGGGAGTAGCGATATACAAGTTGAATAAATAAATAAATATTACATTTATTATTTTACTTTATTATTACTGTTATTATTACATTTCCATTATTTTACTCTATTATTATTATTATTATTATTATTATTATTAGTATTATTAGTATTATTACATTTATTATTTTACTCTATTTTTATTGGAAGGAATTTCAAGCACATTTACATTTAAGAAGGTTAGAATAATGGGTTAATCAGAGTTCCACAGTCTTATCTTAAATTATAGTTTTATGTAAATATTCAAAACATTTAACCTACTGATGCCTCAATTAATGTAATTGTATTGTATCTATTTTTATTTTGAAATTTACCAGTAGCTCCTGCATTTCCCACCCTCGGCTTATACTTGAGTCAATACGTTTTACCAGTTTTTTTGGTAAAATTTGGTGCCTCGGCTTATATTCGGGTCGGCTTATACTCGAGTATATACGGTATTTATCTAGCCATCCTTTCTATCTCCATTGACCCACCCCCCCTCTCTTCATCCTTCAATCTATCCTCCCATCCTTATCTATCTATCCTATTCTAACCTATCCACTCACTCTATCTATCCAACTACCCAACCTATCATCTATCCATCCATGCTTCCATTCATCGTACTCTCCCTCTCCTTTCATCTATCAACTTTCTCTTCCTATGTCTGTCTGTCCATCTGTCCTTCCATCCTGTCTGCCTCTCTCTCTCTCTCTCTCGCTTTCTATCTCTCCATCCATCCATCCACTGTTTTTTTCAAAGTACAAGGGCCGAAGGGCTGCCTGACTGCCTGCCTGTGCTCTGCCTGCCCTTCATGGCTGACTGGAGAGGCGACAGTGACCCTCCCTGGCAGCAAAATCAATCTTCCCAAAGTGACTTTGAGAGAGAGAGAGAAGGGCCCCGCCACCCACCCCTCTGTTGAAGCCACCCCTCCTTTGGGGGCTGTTGCCCAGGCCCATGGGAGAGTCCGGTTGCCCCTTCCGAGGAAGAAGTGCAGGGCCGTTCGTCCCTTTGAAGGCATGATGCCTGGGCCACCAGAACTGGTTCACCTGGAAGTCAAAGGTTCACTGCAACTAACATTGTGGCTGTTTCCCATCTGTGGCAGTCCCACTGTGAACCGTCTATGGCAGTGGTTCTCAACCCGTGGGTCCCCAGATGTTTTGGCCTTCAACTCCCAGAAATCCCAACAGCTGGTAAAGTGGTTGGGATTTTTGGGAATTGTGTGTTTTTGGGCCAAAACACCTGGGGACCCACAGGTTGAGAACCACTGGTCTATGGGGTTCCCTTGCTTTCCTCTGAGGCTGAGAGAGTGTGACTTGTGACCAGTGCCAACCAGCAGGTTTCCATAACTGAGCAGGGATTCAAACACAGGTCTCCCATCGTCCTATCCAACACTCAAACCACTATAAGACTGTACATTTCAGAGGGAAGATCTTGTCCAAGGAATTGTGCCTTTCTCTTCCTCTGAGGCAGAGTGAGTGTGACCCCATGAGATTGGTGCCAGAACCTAAACTATTCAAGCAGCCTATGCTTCCCAATCAATAGCATGCTTGGGGAATACAATATTCTAAGGGCCCTTCCACACAGCCAGATAACCCAGAAGATCCAGGTAGACTGCCAGATAACCCAGTTCAATCCAGTTATACAGTGTGTGGATGGAAGGGGCCTCAGAGATTCTTGCTAGAGAACCAAGTCCCCTTGACCTTTGGGACACTTTACTATTCCTCCAATTCAACGGACAAAAAAGGCATCGGATTGGAGATTGAGATGCCCCTTTCCCATCATCCAAGAACAAGGGAGATGAGAAGACAGACCACAATGCTTGCACAACATTTGCACCGCATCCATCTGCTCATTTGCTTTTGGAAAGCAAAACCAGGCCCTGTACAAAAGAAGAAAAACCTTTCAGAAAGGGCTGAAGGCTGCACTTACATTGGAAGGAGCGAAGAGGTGACTCAAGGCTCTGGGAGCATCTGGTCAACACACAGCGGGACTTGGATCTCTGTCCGGCTACCAAGCGAAGAGAAGGGAGAAGGGAGGAGGAGAAGGAGGAGGCAGCGCTGGGTGACGCAAGGGCAGCATTGACTCCCAAAGGCCTCCCAGTTGAAGCCCAGTTCGATTATCGCAGACAGCAGAAGCCCCGCGTCACAGCACGCCTTGGCCACCAAAAGCGGGCCCATTGCAGGCACATCTGCAGGGCAGGCTCTTCAAAACTCATACATTTTGCCATAGAAGTCTCTGCTTTGCTGTGAGTTTTGTGTTCCAGTAACAATGTATTGTCAAAGGTTTTCTTGGCTGGTATCACTGGGTTGTTGTAGGTTTTTTTGGGCTATATGGCCATGTTCTAGAGGCATTCTCTCCCGACGTTTCGCCGGCATCTAAGGCAAGCATCCTCAGAGTTAGTCAGGTCTGTTGGAACTAGGAAAAGGGGTTTATATATCTGTGGAATGACCAGGGTGGGACAAAGGACTCTTGTCTACTGGAGCTAGGTGTGAATGTTTCAACTGACCACCTTGATTAGCATTTGATGGCCTGGTAGTGCCTGGGGCAATCTTTTGTTTTGTTTTTTAATCGTCTTTATTAAGAATTTTTTTCCATTTTGTGCAAATAAGTAGTGCAAAAAAAACAAACAATAAAAACAAAACACAACAAACAAACAAAAAAGAGAAAAGAAAAACAAAAAAGAAAAAAGAAAAAAGAAAGAAGAAAAAAGAAAAAAACTAGTAGAAAGAAAGAGAAAAAAAACAGAGATAAAAACAGAAGCAGATTGTTGTGGCTCCTTTGTTGACTTCCTGAGTATCTTCTGGTGGTTCTTCCTCTTCTTTCTTTCTTCTCCTCTCATTCTTCAGTCTTATTTTCTCTTCCTTTCATGTTATTATGTGTCAATATCCTTGTTTCAGATAATTTGTTACTTTTGTCCAGTCGGTCTCTTTTATTGGGGTCCCTTTATTTTTTGTTATTAGATATGTTAGCCTGTCCATAATTTTAATATCTACCACTTTTTCTATCCAATCACTAATTTCTGGTATATCTTCTTTTTCCCACAATTTCGCATAGCAAATTCTCGCTGCTGTATTTAACAGAAAGAAGATTTTATCTGTATTCTTCTCCATTTTTTGGTCTGTTATTCCTAGTAAGAATATTTCCAGTTCAAATGGGATTCTCATATTTAATATTTCCTGTAATGTCTTCTGTATTTTTCTTCAATATATCTTAGCCTTGGTGCACGACCACCACATGTGGAAATACGTGGTGGTCGTGGGGCAATCTTTTGTTGAGAGGTGATTAGATGTCCTTGATTGTTTCCTCTCTGTTGTTTTGCTGTTGTAATTTTAGAGTTTTTTTAATAATAATAATAATAAATAATAAAACTTTATTTATATACCGCTCTATCTCCCCGAGGGGACTCAGAGTGGTTCCCAGGTAAAATCACAGAACATACAAAGTAAAAACAACATAACCATAAGATTAACAAAACAAAACATGCATAAAAATTGTCGCCATAACACACGCATATTAAATGTAATCCTGCCTGTTCAAGGCAATTAAAAAAATTTAGAAAGTCGGGCCAAGATTTGTGCAAGTCCAAAAATTCTAGGGGGCCCAGGAATTAAATGCAATGCTGGCAGAACATGAAACATGGCCATATAGCCCGAAAACACCTACAACACCTCAGTGTTCCAGTAACATTATCTCCTGATGTTCTGCCTGCATCAGTGCCTAATGGCATCTTCAGGGGTTCTGTTGGCAGTGAAGCAAGTGGAGTGCATATATCTCTGTGGAATCATGTCCAGGGTGGGAGAAATAACCCTTTCCTCTTTGAAGCAAGTGTAGTTGTTGCAATATCAAGCTTGAACAGCATTGAGCAGCCATGAAGCTGCAAAGTCAATCTGCATAGAGGTGGCCTGGTTGTTGTTGCCTGGGGGCGCCCTCTGTTTGGGAGGTGTTCACTGGCACTTGATTGCTTGCTCTCTGGAGTTCCCTTGTTTCTAACCCCCAAATGCACCAGCATTGCCCAGGCACGAATCATAGGACACGAAAGGCACTGCAGACGGATTCAACCAGAGAAGTCAGCCATAGCAGAGCACATGAAGAACCAACCTGAATATTATTGAAGGTCACAGAAATGCTGGACCACCCTGACAACCATAATGTTAGATGACACAGAGAAGCCATTGAAATCCACAAGGAGTACGTGGGGAATTTCAGCAGAAAGGAGGAAATGAACAAAGTCTGATCACCAGTATTAAAAAAAACCACCAGAAAACAAGGAACCCTGCTCAGACTGGAGAAAAGCAATCAAGTGCCGTTTAAAACCTCCCAAACAGAGGGTGCATCCAGGCAACAACTGCCAGGCCACCTCTATGCAAATACTCTCACTGATTGACTTTACAGCTTCATGGCTACTCAATGCTACTCAAGCTGGCCAATGGCAACATTCACACGTGCTCTAAACAGACAAGGGTTCTTTCTCCCCCCTGAACATTATTCCACAGGTGTGTGTGAATGTGTATACACACACACACACACACCCCACCTGCCTCACTGCCAAGAGAACATCTGAAGATGATAATAATAATAATAATAATAATAATAATAATAATAATAACAACAACAACACTTTATTTATACCCCGCTACCATCTCCCCAAGGGACTCGGTGCGGCTTACATGAGGCTGAGCCCAAAATACAACAATACAAGCAATAACAACAACAATACAAGCAGTTTAAAAACAACAAAACAATGAAGCAATAACACAAACATTACCAAATAGGACAACACACTTTAAAAACTATGGGTAGGCCAAATGTAAATTAAAATTAAAATAATGCTGGACATGGGTGAAGGAAGTGATGGGGCGGTTTATGGAAACATACAAGCAGACTTAAAACAATATGAAGTGCTTTGGAGGACAAAGTGCTATGGGATCACTATTCTGGGAATAGTGAAGATGCCATTAACCACAGATGCAGGTGAAATGTCAGGAGGGAATGCAGCTGCAACATGGCCAGACAGCCCAGAAAACCCACAGCAACCCAGTGATTCCAGCCATGAAAGCCTTTGACAACACATATAAGGCTCTTTACACAATTTGTAATTTCCCATGAATAATGCTACAGAACAAAAGCCTGCTATTCAAACAAAACCCACCAAGCCTAACAAAACAAAAATATGTTCTGTATGTTATATGTGTCCATGTTTTGCAGACAGGAGCCCCCGGTGGTGCAGTGGGTTAAAGCGCTGAGCTGCTGAACTTGTTGTCCAAAAGGTCGCAAGTTCGAATCTGGGGAGCGGGGTGAGCTCCTGCTGTTAGACCCAGCTTCTGCTAACCAAGCAGTTTGAAAACATGCAAATGTGAATAGATCAATAGGTACCGCTCTGGCGGGAAGGTAACGGTGCTCCATGCAGTCATGCCAGTGGCCGCATGACCTTGGAGGTGTCTACAGATAATACCGGCTTTTTGAAATGGAGATAAGCACCGGAGTCCCAGAGTCAGACAAGACTGCACTTAATGTCAGGGGACAACCTTTGCTTTTTACTTTTGCAGAGAGTGCTCTCGCTCTAAGACTCTTCCCTAGAGACCTGAAATAGAGTGCCCAGGCCATGACATCTGGGAACCCTAAAGCGACCATCACACTCTGTAACAAAACTTGAAAAAGGTTCTGATCCTGGTTGAAACATGTTATTCCTGTGTATGTGTCTTGTCCTTACTTTGAAAGGGGCTGCTCTGCTCCAAAAACGGCGTTATTTTTGTGGCTGTCACAAACGAGGTCAAATGGGTTGAGACTCAATGAAGAGATTGTCATTGCAAAACTAGAGCCAAACGTGCTGCTGCAGGATGAGGCCTCTCCCAAAGAAACAAAGCTTTGGTAGCTTGATAAACTTTCCCCACGTTTTTATGATAAACCAATTAGGAAATGATATTTATAGCCCAGGAACAAAAACCATAGTGTTGCATAGTGTTCTTGCATAGCCTACGGCTGGCTCTCCCTCTGAACCTCCTCCTCCTCCTCCTGCAGCCGTGTTGCAAGCTCTGCCACCAACAACGAGACTACCGTTTCTCGTCCAGCCACCCATCGATGGCAGCAAGGACACAATGGACTCCCAGCCGAAGCCAGGATCGATTCCTTCAGCGGCAGCAAAGGGGTCACGGGGCATGGCCGGTCGATCCCCATACATACATAGGCAGTGAGAGAGGAGAGAGAGAGAGAGAGATCCATGTGAGAAAGATGGACAACAAGCTCAACATGAGCCAAGAGTGTGAGGCAGCAGCTAAAAAGCCAATGGGATTTTGGGCAGCATCCAAAGGAGTCTAGTGTCCACATTGAGGGAAGTTGTTTTATGGGGAATGGTGCAGAGAGCACTGCGATTCACTGTGTCGAATGCCTTTGCAAGGTCAATGAATGCCATGTATAGAGGTTGATTTTGTTCCTTGCATTTTTCTTGGAGCTGTCGTGCACTGAAGATCATGTCCACGGTTCCTCTGGAGGGGTGGAAGCCATTCTGGGATTCTGGGAGGGTATCTTCTGAGAGGGGCAGAAGGCGGTTTGCAAGGATTCTTGCGAGGATTTTCCCAGAGGTTAGAAGGGAGATATTTACTTACTTACTTAGGTGATCCATCATTGTCAAATGATGATGGTCCTCCAAGATCGGTGTCCTGGTGGTGAGTCTGTAGGTGTCTGTGGAGCCCTATTCTTGATCTGCATCTTCTCCCACAGTGAGGGCATCTGTTTCCAGGTGGAAGGTGGTCCCGGTCGGGGTTGGCTTGACGCACCTTCCTCTTGCCACATTTCTCTTTTGCCCTCCATTTGTGCCTCTTCAAATTCTACAGCACTGCTGTAGAGTCTGTTCAGCCTCAGAAGAGAAAGTTGCGCAAAGGAGGAATGAGAAGAGCCATGGATCAATAGGGGAAAAGGTCCCATAAGGAAGAGGGAGAGGTTTCCTTTCTGCTGCCCTGGAGACTGGGACACCATGGCTCCAAATGACAAGAAAGAAAGGAGATTCCTCCTGAAGATGAGGAAGAACTTCTTAGAGATGTTCAACAGTGGAACTTTCTACTTTGGAGTCCAATGGAGGCTCCTTCCTTAGAGGCTTCTAAACCTGTCAGGGGAGCTTTGATTGTGCTTTTCATACAATCATAGAGTTGGAAGAGATCTCATGGGCTATCCAGTCCAACCCCCTGCCAAGAAGCAGAAAAATTGCATTCAAAGCAACACTGACAGATGGCCATCCAGCTCTGTTTAAAAGCTTCCAAAGAAGGAGCCTCCACCGCACTCTGGGGCAGAGAGTTCCACTGAGTCAGGAAGTTCTTCCTAATGTTCAGATGGAATGTCCTTTCTTGTAGTTTGAAGCCATTGTTCAACCCAACATAGGTAGGATTTGAAAATTAAGTTCTGAAAGCTTTGCAAAACGGTTGAATCCTTACAGCACTCCCTAGACATGAAACATAAATAATATTTCCAGGGAACTTCATTTTCATGGCTTCAGAGGCCTCTCTCCTTCCAGAAGAGGACAACATGAAGAGTTACACCCCACATAAAGACATGCAAAATGGGAATCCCAATGCGTGGCATGCCATCCCTTGTTGCACCACTAGGTGAAGCTAAAGCCCCATGTGTTTTTCTCCATTGAACAAGGAAAACAAGGGAGGCCTTTGGTACCTTTCCCCCTTTATTTTGCAGGCCTTTCTATTCCAGTGCTAAGCTGAAAAATCAAGATAATATATGGGGAAAGTCCTCACCTGAAGTCCAGGACTTTGGAGCGTGCAACCCATATGAATATGTTGTTGCAACCATCTGAATATAGAACGGAAAGATGAGATATTAAAAGAAAATACCCAAGAATTTCCATTTCCTTCCTAGAAGGCCGTTCCCATAAGGTGTTGTTGGGAGACTTCTGCTCGGCTCCACAGCCATTGTCTTGTGAGGTTCCGCAGGGGTCAATACTGTCTCCTGTGTTGTTTAACATCTACATGAAGCCATTGGGAGAGATCATCCGGAGTTTTGGAGTTCGATGGCATTGTACGCAGATAACATTCAACTGTGTCACTCCTTCCCACCTGCTACTAAGGAGGCTGTTCAGGTCCTGAACCGGTGCTTGGCCGCTGTGATGGTCTGGATGAGGGTGAACAAATTGAAACTGAATCCAGACAAGACACAGGTCCTCCTGGTCAGTCATAAGACAGAACAGGGCATAGGGTTACAGCCTGTGTTGGATGGGGTTACACACCCCCTGAAGGTGCAGGTTCACACTTTGAGAGTTCTCCTGGACCCTTCCCTGAGCCCGGAACCTCAGGTATCAGTGGTGGCCAGGGGAGCATTCACACAATTGAAACTTGTGTGCTTGTTGTGCCTGTACCTTGAGAAGTCTGGAAGTAACATTCTGGTTACATCCAGTATAGACTACTGTAATGTGCTCGGTCAGAACAGTGTTAGTAGTCTGCAGAAAGTCTCAGCCCCTTTTACTCTCAGTGTGATAAAAACTCAAAAAAATATACAAGTTCGTTGATTTAAGTAGAAACAAAAATATAGTTGTATTCACTGTAGATCAAAAACACAAAGCAAAACAGAAGAATTATTCTCACCAATATACAGCAAACAATTTCTCTGGTGAGTCTTCTTCTTTACATGACGATATGCAAACACATTGCAAAATATTACAGTCTCTCTTAGTTATCAGTAGAATGCCCTTATCTTGCCATAAACAAGCAGTTTCCTTGGCACTCCAAACGGATTCAGCTTCAGGACGCTGTGTAACCACTCCCAGCAACAGCCAAAGATTTCTTCAGCTCAAATAAGCCATCAAGCTAAGCCAAAAGCAAAGCTCAAAAGCTTGCAAACCTAGTGCCTTGTTATATGCTGAAACAGAACACACCCAGTTTAATTTGTGGCAGCTCTAACAGAAAAGGTTCTGATCTTCCTTAGAATATGCCTGTTGTAAACCTCTAGTAGCAGCATGCTCTACGTGGGGTTGCCTTTGAAGACTGTTTGGAAGCTTCAATTAGTGGCAGCCAGATTGCTCACCGGAGCGGCGTTCAGGGAGCATACAAACCCTCTGTTAAGCCAACTCCACTGGCTGCCACTTTGCTACTGGTCACAATAAATAAATAATAATAATAAAACTTTATTTATACCCCGCTCCATCTCCCCCAGGGGGACTCGGGGCGGTTTACATGAGGCCAAGCCCATCAATGTAATAAACACAATATTACACAAAAGCATAACACAATATAACACAAAGCATAAGAGAACCAAAAACATAAAATGCAAAACCAAAATAATAAATGAAACAGTAGTATAAAATGGAAACAGCAGTACAGTTCAAAGTGCTGGCTTCAGCCTATAAAGTTCTAAGCGGTTCTGGTCCAGCTTACTTGTCTGAACATATCTCTCCCTATGAACCATCTAGGACAGTGGTTCTCAGTGGTTCCCCAGATGTTGTTTGCCTACAACTCCCAGAAATCCCAGCCAGTTTACCAGCTGTTATGATTTCTGGGAGTTGAAGGCCAAAAACATCTGGGGACCCCAGGTTGAGAACCACTGATCTAGGAATTTAAGATCATCCGGGGAGGCCCTGCTCTCCATCCTGCCTTCTTTGCAAGCACAACTGGCATGGACAAGCAGGGCCTTCCTTCCTTCTTAGTGGTGGCCCCTCGGCTGTGGAACTCCCTTTCTAGGGATATTAGAACAGCCCCCTCCCTTTTGACCTTCTCGAAAAAAGTAAAAACATGGCTATTTGAACAAGCCTTCAGAATCTAATGCAACAGTCAGACACGGAATTAGACGAAAGTGAACATTGGAACGGCTCAGACTATAATTTATGGTCAGTGAGACTAACAATGAATGCAGTGCTTTGATATGGTTTAATAGGTTTGATTGAATGTATTGTCGAAGGTTTTCATGGCCGGAATCACTGGGTTGTTGTAGGTTTTTTCGGGCTATATGGCCATGTTCTAGAGGCATTCTCTCCTGACGGTTCGCCTGCATGTATGGCACGCATCCTCAGAGGTAGTGAGGTCTCTACCTCTGAGGAAGCTTGCCATAGATGCAAGCGAAACGTCAGGAGAGAATGCCTCTAGAACATGGCCATATAGCCCGAAAAAACCTGCAACGACCCTTTGATTGAATGTATTTTAATTCTTTGAATTGTATATTGTTAAGGAATTGAATTGCTGCCTGGTTGTAAGCCGCCTTGAGTCATCTTTGGGTTCGAGAAAGGCAGGATAGAATGACTGTAAATCAATCAATCACTCAATAAATAAATGGCTTTGCAGGTTTCCAGGAAGAAAAGAAGAGACGAATTCTGAAATGCGCCATAATCAGGGATGCAAAGAGACACTAAGGACTCAGCTACACCACGGAATTAATCTGCATTATTCGTCGTGGCTCAAATGTGAAGTAATTCTGGGAGCTACAGCTTGTTGTTTTTGGCAGAGAAGGCTGAATATGTTGTTAAACTCACAACTCCCTGGATCCCATCATTGCATTGAGCCAGGGGCAGTGTTTGTTCTTCAGTGTACATGGAGCTTGAGATGTTAGGAAAAGACGCACAGAAACCTACCAGACCAAAGGGGCAAAAAAGAGAACCTTTAATATTGTGCACCAACCTTGGCCTTTTCTTGTCTTGAATGAAGTGCCGGATGAAGACAAGGCTGTGTTTACTATTAAAAACCGAGGTGTACAAAAACCCTCCCCCATCAGTAGAAATGCACCCGATGCTGCCCTGGTTAAGCACAGTCCAGGGGCCACACTGCCTACTTGCACCCAATGGCTCCTTCTCCTTGCTCTAACAAAAACCCCAAGACAGTTGGCTGACCCTCATCTATGGCTCTCTCAAGCTTTGGGCCAGTCAGTCTCTTGGAGGCTGGTCCTTTGGACAACCCATGCAGGTCATTCATACAACACTCTGGCCAATGGCACCGTCATCCACCAAGTGTGCCCCTGTGCCATCCACTGTGTCCAACCCTGCCTCGTCCACCATTTCAACCCTTGCATCATCCATCCCATCGGCCCCTGCATTGTCCACCTTGGCATCGGCCACCACGGCCACCCCTGTGTCCTCCTCCTCCTCTGTGTCTCGGACCGGAAGGTAGCCCCCCTCCCTGGGCAAACACCAGCACCACCCAGCCCCAGTGAGGTCCAGTGCATCCCAGTCAAAGCTGCTGAAGTCCAGCCGCTTGAAGTCCACCATGTCCAGGTTCTCGTGCATCTCGTCCAGCTCCTGCCAGTACAGCCAGGCCATCACCAAGCCCAGGACCTGTAAGGAGAGAGCAAACAGAGAGGGGGCATGGGGTCACCTAAAGGCCATCTAGTCTCATTCCCTTCTGCAGGACTGTAGCGTTAAAAGGGGCATCCAAAGGCCATCTAGTCCCACCCCCTTCTGTAGGATCACAGTGTGGCAAGGGGCACCCAAAGGCCATCTAGTCCAATGCCCTTCTGCAGGACTGTAGTGTTGCAAGGGGCATCCAAAGGCCATTTAGTTTCATTCCCTTCTGCAGAATTGTATTGTTGTAAGATGTCCCCCTGAGGCGAGGGAGAGAGACTATTTCCTCTTTAAAACCTCTTTGCTGCCTTATACTGATTCAGTTTCTTCTTTTATATTGGCTGGGACTTTCTATGTGCTGTTAAACCTTTGTACTTTATATCGCAGGCAATGTAACACTCTTGTGTATAACGAAGTAACACAATTTATTCATAACATGTGTTCTGTTGCCATCTTGAGGCTTACAGTCAGTATCATTTACTTGGTTAACTTTTCTGAATAAACTATCAATGTTTCACATTCACAAACATGTTACTTGCTTTACACACTCTTGGCTGAATTATATTCTGAACTAAGGCAACACTAGCCTTCTTTATGTTCCATAAAACTCGAGCTCTATTTAACTAACTGCTTCTCTATATCAGAAGTCTTTAACACATCTTCGTAACTGCTTCACACAGAGATTCCTAACTGTCATTTTCAAACTCCCTCACTCTAACTGCCTCTTTGAGAACCTTGGCTCCGCCCCTTTGGAATGTTCAGCTCTGCTCTCCCGAACTGTCATTTTGGTTTAGCAGCCTTTTCAAATCCTGGGCCTACACTAATCTGCATATGACCAATCGGCTTCACATATACAAATGAATCCTATCTCTGCTGTTGCTACCCTGTCTGTGCCTATTCTTCCCTATCTGCCATATGTAAACATAGAGCTATACACCAAAACTTTAAAATAGAGTAGCAATTTCACTACACCCCCAAAGGCCATCTAGTCCAACCCCCTTTAGCAGGATCATAGCTTTGCAAGAAGCACCCAAAGGCCATCTAGTCTAACCCGCTTTTGCAGGATCGTAGTGTTCCAGGAGGTACCCAAAGGCCATCGCCCAATTCCTCTCTGCAGAACGGTTACTTTGAAAGGAACACCCAAAGGCCATTTAGTCCAACCCTTTTCTGCAAGATTGTAGTGTTGCAAGGGGCAACCAAAGGCCATCTAATCCAACCCAGGGTCCTTCCTTGTTGTTTTGCAAAGCCCTCTTCTTGAAAGGAAGGGGATGCAAGCAATTCAGTGCCCAGGGCGATGCTCATTCTATCCAGCTTACACTCTTTCTGCCTCAAGTTGGCTTTGCTGCAAAAGACGGGGTGCTAATGGGTTTGTTTGTGTCCAATCAGCCCTGTAAACAGTCTTGTAAATGATGCCGGATGTTTTTCAAATGCCCCGTCAATTAGATTACACTAACTCCATTTAATATCGAAGAGTCTATTAAGTGGGGAAAGGAATATACAGCAGTTGGAACAATTTGCTGAAATGGCAAGAGAGAAAAAAGGAGAATCTTTACTTGTTGCTGTAAGTTTTCTAGGCTGTCTGGCCGTGTTCCAGAAGCATTCTCTCCTGACATTTCACCCACATCTATAGCAGGCATCCTCAGAGGTTGTGAGGTCTGTTGGACACTACGCAAATTGAGTTTGCAAGTATATCTGTGAAATGGTGTCCATGGCAGGAGAAAGAATTCTCTGCTGGAGGCAAGTGTGAATGTTGCCATTGGCCACCTTGATTAGCAGTGAATCACTGATTCCTGCCTGTTGGGAAGTGTTAGCTGGCTCTCATAGTTTCATGTCAGGAATTCCCCTGTTTTTTGAGTGTTCCTCTTTATTTACTGTCCTGGTTTTAGATTTTTTTAAAATGGTTTTGTTCATCTTCATAGCCATTGAAATCCACAAGAACACATGGACAATTTTAACAGAAAGGAGGGAACAACAGAAATGAACAAAATCTGGTGGTCAGTAAATATAGAACAACCAGGGGAATTCCAGACAAGAAACAATCAGGGTCAGCTAACACCTCCCAACAAAGGATTTCCTCATGCAACAACCTGCCAGTCTTTGAATCTGCAAGGCCACTCAATGCAAATCAAAGTGGCCAATCGAAATATTCACACCTACCTCAAGCAGGCAAGATTTCTTCCTCCATCCTGGAGATTATTCCACAGGTATATATATAAACCCCATTTTCCTAGTTTCCAACAGACCTCCCAAGCTCTGAGGATGCCTGCTACAGATGTGGGCAAAACGTCAGGAGAGAATGCTTCTGGGGCATGGCTAGACAGCCCGGAAAACTCACAGAAACCGCAACATAGTGTAAATGAAAGCCTTTGACAACAGGTATTATGATTGTTGCTATTATAAATATTATGAATATTACTATAATTATTGCTATTATTTCTGAGTTCCTCTACGGAGGTGAGAAAATCAGGATATAAAAGTTTTAAATAAATAAATAATAATAATAATTATGATTGCTATTATATTATGACTATTATTGTTTTATTGATATTATTATTATTATTATTATTATTATTATTACTCCTACACGTCTTTATACTCTGCTTTTTCTCTTTTGCCAGAGGAGACTCAAACTGGCAAACATTAAAAACCGTAACAATATGTGATTTAAAACCAACAACTATTAAACACTGAGATATTAAAAATGTGTAGTTAAACCCATGTGACCAATCTATTCAAATGCAATGAAACACAATGATAAAACCAAGACCCCTGTTGTTTCTTAATAGCCCTTGTGCCAAAAATAAGGCATGGATGTTTTGCAGAGTGGTTGATTAATTAATAAGGGCACCTTTGAAAAGTCAATTAAAGCCGTTTAAAGTGGTTCATCGAAGTGGCTCATCAACTCAACAAAAAGTGCCTGGGGTTTTTCCCCAGCAAAAGACATGGGAGTGAATGCAATCCTGCATCCTTTGAGACCGTATTCAAAAAGGCTCGAAAAAGCTTTTAAAAGGCAACTGTTTTCTGATTTTGCATGATACCCAACAGCAGAGAAATGTGGATTTTTTTCTTTTATAATGCACACTTTCCTGTGTAGTGAACATTAAAAAGTACAATCTGTAATTGAAATTCTGGCATGGAAAATCAAAAGCCACTCCATACAACACCTGGAATATATTCATTCCTCTGAAGTGATGTTGCCCCCTGATAATACATAATCATCGTCATCATCAGTAGCATTATTATTATTATTATTATTATTATTAACATCTGAACATGAGGAAGAACTTCCTGACTGTGAGAGCCGTTCAGCAGTGGAACTCTCTGCCATGGAGTGTGGTGGAGGCTCCTTCTTTGGAAGCTTTTAAACAGAGGCTGGATGGCCATCTGTCAGGGGTGATCTGAATGCAATATTCCTGCTTCTTGGCAGGGGGTTGGACTGGATGGCTCATGAGGTATCTTCCAACTCTTTGATTCTATGATTCTGTGATTCCTGGAATCATGTCCTGAACACAAACATGTCAACATTTCAACTGTTCTGTTCACACCTGTTCTGTTCAGACATCATGACATAGATATATGAGTCATTGAGGTTGTGAAGGAGCTACTCATTGACCCCAAAGGACCCAAAGAAGGTATCCGAGAAGCTTAATCTATGAAATAGACCATCCTGAACCCCAGAGGAGCCTTTCAAGGTGCTGAACCTATGAGGGAGATACTCCTAAACCCCCAAGGTATCCACAAAAAAAAAAACCCTCCTGCTGTGCCTCAAAAGAGCTCTCCAAGGTGCTGAAGGTATGGAGGGACCTCTCTGGGACCCCAAAAAAATGGCTGAGAACATGAAGGAACTACCCTTAGACCTGCCCAAAAAACTGAAATAAGGTATTGAGGATGCTGCATCTATGAAGGCGCCACTCCTGAACTCCAAGGAAGCCATTCAAGGTACTTAACTTACAAAGGAAACATTCCTGGACCCCAAAGGAGCTCCCCAAGATGCTTTATGAAGGAGAAACCCATGAATGACAAAAGAGCTATTCACTATTGTGCTGGTACGGCTGTACCAGGAACTCCAACTTTATTTGCTTTGTATTAAATGTTTGCTTGCAGTCCAAGGTTTCAAGGAGTCTGCAAAAAGGTGGCTTCCTTTGGTTGCAGTCATAGGGCAAGTCACCTGCCCATCATCGTTAAGTTTTGGTTCCGCCCCTTGCTCAGGGCAATTGGGAAGGGAGCCATTAGTTAGTCTCAGCAAGGAAAGCTAATGTACAGGATGTGTGCAACCTTCCCCTGTACAAAAGCTTCAACCCTTAAGACTTTCCGCGGGAGAACAGTCTTAAGAGCTTCCAAAGATTCTAAAGATTTCCAGGGAAACAGCCTGAAAGCTTTGAAGAATTTCGGAGGGAACAGTTTGGAAGACCAAAGAACTCCAGCTGGAGTATATCCAAGCCCTTACTGGTAGGTCCACTCGGTGCTTCGAGACGCAGTTCGACCCGGTAGTGGAGCCCACATCAGTAAGGGTTAGATTACAGTCAGCCTGGGAAAAGTTAAAAAGGGGATTTTCCTTTAAAGTAAAGAAGAAGTTATTGAAGACAGTTGCCTGTCCTTCGTGGGCAAGTTTAGGAAGCCACCAGTTGCATAAAAGCCTGGAATCATTTGTTTAACTTTACTGAAGACGAGAAGTTTCTGTTTGATTGTTCATCAATAAAGAACTTTTTTATACTTCACAAGCCATCTAAAGATCATTTGTGGTGGAAAACCTCTGAGAACTTCTCTTTGGGCCCCCTGGCTTCCCGCTGGGCAAAGGTTGCACATTCTGTTCTAAAGGAAATTCTTTACAGGCCCAGCGCGTGACAGAACAACTATGCTGGACCTATGAAGGAGATACTCCTGAACCCTTAAAGGTATGCACAAAAGAACCCCTCCTGTACCTCAAAGGGTACCTCTCCAAGGTGTTGAATGTATGGAAGAGCTTTTCCTGAACCCCAGAGGAGTTGCTGAGGCCATGAAAAAACTACCCTTGGACCTCAAAGGACCCCAAAGAAATCCAAGATACTTGATCTATGAAATACATATATAATGAATCGCACCGCTGTACCACCAAATTGTAATGATCCTGCACCAGCCTACCAAATTATAACGATGACACCACCACTACAGATTAGCTCACCCAAAATATAGAGGGAGAATAGTTGTTGAAACCAACTGGATATTTACAAGCTAGGAACTGGGAACCACTGGAACTGTGAGACTTAAAAATTATTCTTTAAAAGGTTCCGCTGCCACCATATTACTAAAGAACAGGCTGAGGTACTATTGAGAGGTTGTTCAGTAACACACTCTGTGTTACTCTAGTTTTCTTAGAGGCTGGTAAAAAGTTGACTTGAATAACACTTTTACCACAAAGATATTCACACCGAGGTTGGTATAAGTTGGTAAAAATAACAAGAACTTTATTTGAACAGACTTGGATATTTTAGGTACAAATGCTTGATGGTTTCAGTAAAAATCTGGCATACAAAGCTTGTGGTTACGTTTGAGAAGAGATCTTAAAAACTTCTGGGTTTCAAGTCTTAACATTTCCACACAGAAAATTACTTCAGGAAATGAATCTCTGAAAGTAACTCCCACAAAAATCCCCCTTAGGAAACTAGCCAAAATTTGAACTAGCCTTCCTTAAGGAAAAGAGCAGACCACTGACGGGGTTCTGCTCCCACACACTATTCTAGCTTTCTCTATAGCTACCCTGAATACTAAACAAAAGACTGACTCAAAGTCCTTCTTCAAAACCCCAAACTGCTCTCGCTAACACCCTTTCAAGCTCCAACTCTCAACTCTCAACTGGCAAACTCTCAACTCGAGCCTCAGTTTTAAAAGCCACTTTTTTCTTTCAGATCACTTAGGCTCCCCCCCCCCCATCATACTAACCAATCCTAGAGGTCTAACTTTCCCTCCAAGACTAGAACACACCCCTTAAGGCAAACCTAACCTAAGACGGCGTCTCCCTGTCTCCCTTCTCTAAAATGGATGCCGGGGCTTCACCAGCCCACTCTCCTAGGCCTAAGCTAACCTGCCAAGGTAAGGGAATCATGACAACATACTTTTGAACCCGAAAGGAGACATTCAAGGTGCTCAACCTACAAAGGAGACCCTTTGGGATCCCAAAGGAGCTCCCCAAGATGCTTAATGTATGAAGGAGACACTCTTGAACACCAAAGGATCCATTCATGATGCTGGATCTATGAAACCCCAAAGGAATCCAATAAAGAACTCCTGTACCTCAAAAGAGCTCTCCAAGGTGCTGAGTGCATGGAGGAGCCTCTCCTGAACCTCAAAAGAGTTGCTGAGGCTGTGAAGGAGCTACTGGCTTCCCCCCACTAATAAATGGTGTTACTACTTAACTAAATGATATGATCTAACACCCCAATACAAACAAGGCCTTTATCAAATAATCTGCCGGGTACCCAAGCTAGTAACAACAACAACAACAACAACAAAGGCACTGAATCTATAAAGGAGACAATCCTGAACCCCAAAGGAGCCCTCCAAAGTGCCAAACTGATTTCACAAATGGGTTTTATAGCCTTTTCAAAATCTGGACTGAAATCCTGCATTTATATCCTTTGCCACCTAAAGCAGAAGGCGCCTGCAGTTTAGGAAACATGTCTCTATGCCTCCTCATCACCTCCTCTTTGTTTCCATCAAGCTACAGTTTTATGAGATCCTTGTCTCACCCTACCTGCGTGACCGCATCTCTGTCTACGAACCCACACAATCTCTTCGGTCATCTGGAGAGACCTTGCTCACAATCCCACCTGCATTGCAGGCGCGATTGGTGGGGACAAGGGACAGGGCCTTCTCGGTGGTGGCCCCTCGACTCTGGAACTCTCTCCCTAAGGACATCAGGCATGCCCCAATGCTGGCAGTTTTTAGGAGGACCTTGAAAACGTGATTGTTCCAGTGTGCCTTCCCAGAATAAGGAAACTCCTAGCATTATATGTCCCCAAATGCACTTTACTAGAGATCTAGGATATCTGCACGCCCCATTCTCCTCCAAATACCTACCCTTTTCGCCTGGTCATGCCTGCATATTTTTTTAAATTTTAATTATTACATTTGGCCCTGCCATAGATTTTAATTGCATCATGGTATGTTGTTGATGTTTATTGCTGTGTTTTGAGTTCATTTATTGTTGTATTGTTGTTGTTTTTATTTTTACTGATGTATTTGGGCTCGGCCTCTTGTAAGCCGCACCGAGTCCTCCAGGAGATGGTAGCGGGGTATAAATAAAGGTTTATTATATTATTATATTATATTATTATATTATTATTGTCTGGGCAGTTTTTCAAAGAAGAGCAGCCATCTTTCAGGCAACCCGCACCCACTTCTCATAGGGGTTTTACAATTCTTAGGGTTTATAATGTCTGGGATTATTAGCCAAGATGGATGGTGCAAGGAGCCTCCTAAAGGGCCCTCTCGGCTGGTGGCCGTTGTCATATCCTGTCTGTGTCAAGACACATGCGGATTAGCATCCCAGATATGGCCCCAGGTGACCCTGGAAATAATAATAAGGCAATGAAACTGCACTGCAAATGACTGGCAGCCCTTAGCAATTGAAGCCACTGCCTCGACCAATGGATGCGAATGATAAGGGGAAGAAGAATGCTGTCCAGTGGAGCCATTCAAATATAAACAAGTCTCAGCCGGAAGTGCAAAACCATCTCAGTATCCAAAGTATTATGGTATTGCAAATATTCCCTCCAGGAAGATGGTAAAGAGGGCGAGGGGACAGCTCTTCTTTCCCCCTCACCTTCTTACCTTCCTCATCCTCCTCCTCTTCGCTGCCTGGGCCTCTTCTGAGATGCCACATAAGGCCCAAGTGGCGAAGAGTAGGAGGAAGGTGGTAAGGAGGGTGAGGGGGTGGCTCTTCTCCCCTCGCCCTTCTTACCATCTTCTTCCTCTTCCTCTTCGCTGCCTGGGCTTCTTGCTGCAACACTGCATGGGGCCCAAGTGACGGCAAGAGGCCCCAGGCGGCGGAGGGAGGAGATGGTAAGGAGGGTGAAATTCTTTTTTTTAATTTTTTTTTAAAAACCTGCGAAACAGCAAGTCCATGATAAATGGACCATGAAGGAGTATTATAAATAAGGCTGATGTGAGTCTTGGTGCCAATGTGTTGGACAGCCCTGGTGCCGATGCACCCTACAGCCTGGATTATGTTCCCCATATCTTATGGATATATAGATTTAGGAGGAAGTCTGAAAGCAGACGTATTGACCTACCTGTGGGAGAAGCAGGGAGCACACAATTCCCAAAGTGGCTTCAAAGTTGTCCTTCAGCCACAGACCAACCGCATGGATGCAGCCGCGGACGTGGATGGTGTCCACCAGCTCCAACCGCTGCAAAGAGAACAGCAGCTGGCATTGAGAAGGTGGCTCTCGGCTCTGGCTTTGTGAAAAAGCACAGGGCAGGCATGGGTGAACCCCGGCCCTCCCCCCTGGTGCCTTTTAAAAAATTGGTTACATGTAAACAATTTGTAACATTTTCACAATTGCATCTAGACAACAATATATTATTATTATTTTTTAACCTCATCGAATACATTTTGTTGATTACATTTTATCTTTTAACAATCTATACACATAATAAAAGTGAAAATGTGTGTGTGTGTGTGGGGGGGGGGGGTTGGGTGCCCACTTTCACAGACAGGCTCCTGCTTCCACAAACAGCTATTGTTCTTACAAAAGAGATACCTCCTTACCTCTTTATCCAGGGTCCGGTATCCACACAGCGTGTTGATGACTTTCTCCTGAGAAGGAGAAAAGGAAAAGCGTCACCAAAATAAAATAAAATAAAATTTTATCTAAACTTTAGGAAGAACCTTCGGGTGGAAGGAACTGTTCAGCAGTGGAATGTATGTGCTGGAGTCCCCTCCACTGGAGGCTTCTATGCAGAGGCTGCATGGCCATCTGACAGGAGGGATTGGATGGTGCCCCCCCCCCCCCCCCCGACAGAAGCGAGTTGGACTGGATGTCCCTCTTTGGGATCTCTTTCAACTCTGGGATCCCATTATTCCATCCACATCTCTTGAGGTTTTAAAGACAAAGGTAGATGGCCACCTTTTGGAGGGATTGAATGATGTCTTCCTTTATGGAAAAAAGAGGATTGGATTGGATGGCCTTTGAGAGTCCCTTCCAACAGTTGGAGTCTATGATCCTATGACAGGCTGGATGGCCTTCTGGCGAGAGGGGTCAGATGGTGTCCTTCCTGCCAAAAGTGGATTGGACTGAATGGCTCTTGGGGTTCCTTCCAGCTCCAACAATCTACGATTCCATCTCTCTCTTGCATTCTTGGGATGTTTTGAAACAGAGACTGGATGGCCATCTGTCGACAATGTTTTTCTGCAGGGCAGAAGGGGACTGGACTAAATGGCCCTTGGGGCTCCCTTCCAACTTTAGGAGTCTATGATTCTATGAAAGGCTGAATGGCCATCTGTCGAGAGAGATTGGATAGTGTCTTTCCACAGGGCAGAAGGGAGCTGGACTAGACCATAAACTACCAAGTCTGGGAGTATGATCCCATGACAGGCTGGAATGGTCATCTGTCAAGAGGGATTTTATTGTGTCCCTCATGCCAGAAGTAGTTGGACTGGATGACCTTTGGGGCTCCCTTCCAACTCTAGGAGTCTCTGATCCTATGGCAGGCTGGGTGGCAATCTGTTGAGAGGGATCAAATGGTGTCCTTCCTGTCAGAAGAGGGTCTGGATGAATGGCCTTTGGGCGTCCCTTCAAAGTAGGAGTCTTTGATCCTGTGGAAGGCTGCATGGCCATCCGTCTAGAGAGATCGGATTGTGTCCTTCCTGCCAGAAGGAGGCTTGACTGGATGGCCTTTGGGAGTCCCTTCTGACTAGGATTCTATGATTCTATGAGAGGGATTGGATGGTGTCTTTCCGCAGGGCAAAAGGGGATTAGACTAAATGGCCTCTGGGGGTCCCTTCCAACTCTGGGAGCCTCTGACAGCAGGAGGGTATGCTGCATGGCTGGACTCACCTTGCGGATGCAGCAGGTGTAGGGCACACCGCAGGCAAGGGCCCCACTGCTGTTGCAGGCATGGTAGGGGTTGACCCGCCAGTCCTTGAACTCATCTCCTCCGCAGCAGGAGAACTATAGGGCACAAAAGGCACGTCTGCATCTCACAGACCGGTCACTACAGACACCCTCCACCCCCCGCAAGACTATTCCCTTTTTGTGGGGTATCCGCCCCGCTCTGCAAAGGGGAAGAAGGGTCCGACCTTCTGCTGCACAAAGTCCAGGATGTTTTTGAAATCCAAATCATCGTAGTAGTGCTTGATCCCATCCTGGAGGCTGGCGTGGAAGACAGAGTTCATCTGCAAAGGAGGAGAGACCCAGACACCTCTAGTGCCCATCTACGCTGCAGAACCAATGCAGTTTGGCCCCACTTTAACTGCCATGCATGGATGCCAAGAGAGCCTGGCAGTTGTAGTCTGGTAGACGAGGATCAAGTCCTTGTCGAACTACAACTCTCAGGATCCCATAGCATGTGGCAATTAAAGCAGTGCCAAACTGCATCCATTCTACAGTACACTCCCCCAGACTCTTGCTTTGCAAATGTTGCATTCATTGTAGTGTATTTAGCAGTGTTTGCTGCCTTGAGTCACTTCTAAGAGAGAAAAAGCTGCATATAAAATGATGATAATAATAATAACAACAACAACAACAACAATTCATGTGCAGTTTCCAAAGCAAACATGGAGCTTGTTGTTGTTATTATTATTCACATGCTGTTTTCAAATAAAATATAGATATTATTATTATTAGCAACAATAACACAGAGCCAATAATGATTAACAATGATAATAAAAATAGCAATTCCTGTACAGTTTCCAAAGAAAACACATCACTGATGATAATAATAATAATAATAATAATAATAATAATTATTATTATTATTATTCTTCCTGTGTGGCTTCCAAAGCAGAGAACTAATAATAATAATAATAATAATAATAATAATAATAATAATAATAATAATAATAATAATAATTCATGTGTGGCTTCCAAAGCAATAATAATATCATCATCATCATCATCAATAATAATCATCATCATCATCATCATAATTCATGTGCAGTTTCCAAAGCAAACATGGAGCTTGTTGTTGTTGTTATTATTCACATGCTGTTTTCAAATAAAATATGGATAATATTATTATTACTGTTATTAGTAACAATAACACAGAGCCAATAACGATTAACAATAATAATAAAAAATAATAATTCATGTGCAGTTTCCAAAGAAAACACATCACTGATGATAATAATAATAATAATAATAATAATAATCCCTGTGTAGCTTCCAAAGCAAATAATAATAATAATAATAATAATAATAATTCATGTGTGGCTTCCAAAGCAAACACTGAGCCAATAATAATATCATCAGCATCATCATCATCAATAATAATAATAATTCATGTGCAGTTTCCAAAGTAAACATGGAGCTTGTTGTTGTTGTTATTATTATTCACATGCTGTTTTCAAATAAAATATGGATATTATTATTATTATTATTATTATTATTATTATTATTGTTATAGTAACAATAACACAGAGACAATAATGATTAAAAATGATAATAAAAATAATAATTCATGTGCAGTTTCCAAAGAAAACATCACTGATAATAATAATAATTCCTGTGTGGCTTCCAAAGCAGAGAACTAATAATAATAATAATAATAATAATAATAATAATAATAATAATAATAATTCATGTGTGGCTTCCAAAGCAAACACTGAGCCAATAATAATATCATCATCATCATCAATAATAATAATAATAATTCATGTGTGGCTTCCAAAGCAAACACTGAGCCAATAATAATATCATCATCATCATCATCATCATTAATAATAATAATAATTCATGTGCAGCTTCCAAAGCAAATTAAATGCAGAGCCCATTTTAATAATAATAATAATAATAATAATTCATGTACAGCTTCCAAAGCAAATTAAACACAGAGTCAATTTTAATAATAATAGTAATAATAATAATAATAATAATAATAATAATAATAATTCATGTGCAGCTTCCAAAGCAAACATGGATCCTGCCAGCACATTATTTTTCCTTCCTTTCTGAAAGACAATACTCAGGAGGAGAACAGGGTTAGCGCTCTGCTTTTCAATTTTTAAGCAGTTGCTTTTGGATAATTTAATTTAATTATGCACTTGGCTTCACTTAGTGAGAAAGGGGGAGAGAAGAAGGAGGAGAAGAAGGAAAAGAGGAAGGGGGAAGTTTGCAAAACACTAGCCTCTTCAGTCGAAGTGAAGGGCATCCTGTTCTGGGTCCCTTTGGCATCTCAATGGCTTTGGATTCAGCCATAAAGACGGCCCTAAAGGCACTTCTGGAAGCCTCCAGGAGGGCCCTTTGCAAAACCCAAGCCCAATGCCTTTACTTTGAAAACACACACAGCGCTTAATTAATGCTGACAAGAAAATTACAGGGGTTGGGCTTAGCTGACAAAAGAAACCGAAGGCAAAGCAGAAGAATAAGTGCAAGGAAAGCAAACTGGGGGGGGGGGGGGGAGAGGCAAAGGTGGGCACCCAAAGGCCACAAGTACATCCAGCACAAAAGAAACAGCACGTGCATTAAGAACGTGCATTAAGAACGCACCAAAAGCCCGCTTGTGTTGCAACACTATTGGGAAGAAGGGGCCATTTAAACAAACCAACCAAACGACAATTCAATATGAACTTGAAACATAGGCATTGCAAGGATTAGGTGAGCCAATTTTGGGAAATTGCAAAAAATACATGCTGCAATGGTTTTGAAATCTGAGTTTTGGAAAACACTGCAATTATTATTATTATTATTATTATTATTATTATTATTATTATTATTACGTTTTTATTTTGCAACTCAGTCACAAATATAACAACAACAACACTTTATGTATATTCTGCTCTATTTCCCCGAGGGGACTCAGAGCAGATTAGAGCATACACAAATATAGGCAAACATTCAATGGCTTTTAAATACAGTGAACTAAAGTAAGTAAGTAAAGTAAGTGGAGCCCCCGGTGGCGCAGTGGGTTAAAGCGCTGAACTGCTGAGCTTGTTGACCGAAAAATCGCAGGTTCGATTCTGGGGAGCGGCGTGAGCTTCCGCTGTCAGCCCCAGCTTCTGCCAACCTAGCAGTTTAGAAACATGCAAATGTGAGTAGATCAATAGGTACCGCTCCGGAGGGAAGATAACGGCGCTCCATGCAGTCATGCTGGCCACATGACCTTGGAGGTGTCTACGGACAACGCTGGCTCTTCGGTTTAGAAATGGAGATGAGCACCACACCCGAGTCAGACATGACTGGACCTTTACCTTTTACTAAGTACAATAACAATGACACACAAATACACAGAACAAAGGCAAAAGCTTCCATTCAACTCCAGCCATGGGGAGGAGCTCTTGGTCAATTTCCAAGCCGAGGACCCTGTTGTCCTTAGACACAACCTGGTCCTGTTGCCTGCATGGCTGCATGGGCACCTTTATTACCTTCCCGCAGAGGCATGGGCACCTTTATTACCTATTGATCTACTCACATTCACATGTTTTCGAACTGTCAAAAAATTCAATTTAAAATCCAAAAACCTACAGAAATTTAAACATACGTCAATTAAAATAATCTTGTTTGGGTGAATTTGATTGAAGAGTGGAGCGTATGCATTTTGCAATTGCAATTGTGAGCTGCGCTTAAAAACATATTGCATTATTATTATTATTATTATTAAATTTATTTATTTATTTATTTATTTTACCTTGCTTATATTCCTCCCTTCTCACCCAAAAGGGGATTCTGGGCAGATCACAGAATGTACATATGCGGTAAACATTTGATGCCGTTTTATACACAAAACAGACAATTATACATAGATATATAAGGAGCCCCTGGTGGCACAGCAGGTTAAACCGCTGAGCTGCTGAACTTGTTGACCAAGAGGTCAGTGGTTTAAATCCGGGGAGCAGGGTGAGCTCTCGCTGTTAGCCCCAGCTTCTGCCAACCTAGCAGTTCAAAAACATGCCAATGTGAGTAGATCAATGAGTACCACTCTGATGGGAAGGTAATGGTGCTCCATGCAGTCATGCCAGTGGTCACATGACCTTGGAGAGGTCTATGGACAACGCCAACTCTTAGAAATGGGGGTGAGCACCAGAGTCCCAGAGTCGGACACAACTGGACTTAATGTCAGGAGAAACCCCAAAACAGGTATATACATCGGCTTTCCCCATCTTTTGGCATCTTGGAGGCTTTGTGCTCAGTTCAGGCCACGGGTGGTGGTGGTGCTGTTGCTCCATCTCCCTGCTGAAGAACCTTTTTCGTAACTTCCTCCTTTTAGATTGAACCGTCGGCATTCCTTATGGGTGCCGCAGAATACCTCCCCACTTTTAACTAGTACCCATTTATCTACACACATTTGCTTTTGAACCACTAGGCAGGCAAAAGCTGAGCTGAAGGTCTGGAGCTCACCCTGACCCGGGCTTCAAACTGGCAGCCTTTTGGCTGTGTTATGGCAACAATTTTTATGCTTATATTTTGTTTTGTTAATCTTATGGTTATGTTGTTTTTACTTTGTATGTTTTGTGATGTTACCTGGGAACCGTTCCGAGTCCCCTCGGGGAGATGGAGCGGTATATAAATAATAATAATAATAATAATAATTATTATTATTATTATTATTGGCTGACAAGATTTACTGCAGCCGGTGGTTTAACCTGCTGTGCTAAAGCCTGGCCCTCTTTCATCACTTGATTGAGGTATAAAGTGGCTCACAAGATTACGGTAAATAAAACTATCTGGCATCATCTTCTCTTTCTTTCTGAGTTAACTGACTGCAAACAACAACAACAACAACAATGCTTTTGTCTCTTGACTGAGACCTAAAGTGCCGCACAAGATCCAAATCCACAAACTAGAAATATGAAATAATAGGGTACAAATTAAAGAAGAAAACCCCAAAATCTCAGGACATGACAAAAAGCCTCCGCACCTGTTTTTCGAAGATGATCTCAATGAACAGCAGCAGCAGCTCAATGATGAAGATGCTCAACAAAACCCAGAAGAACTAGGAAGGAGACAGAGAGAGAAAAACAGGCATTAAGGCATCGGTTGAGCCTGCACTGGAAGACCTAGCCATTTCCTAGAAAGTTGTGACAGAGTTGCATTGGAGGACCCTGAAAATCTCTAGGAAGGAATCTACTGCAGATCCATGTTATCGAACATTGCTACCCCACACCCCTAATAAAAAGGGATTTATAGTTAGGAATTTATAGTTTTTCAAGGGCAACATGGCAGAATGAGATAAGCAGCATTCTCTCTTTTGTGTGAAGCTTCCCAGGCCTCTTCACCTTTAGACCCTTGCTTCTCTCCTCTATTCTCTTAACACGAACTATTATCTTATTCCACTCTCTTCCTATAATACTATCATATATATTCTATTTTACAAGAGACATTGGCCTCTGCCTGATCTGGGCCCAGCTATTATGCCATGCTTGGAACCAGCCCCCCATCATCTGAGGGGGCTGGTTCCAAGCATGACATCTATAAGGTTATTCAGGAACGATCGAGTAATAGAGAGAAGATTTTAAATAATTTGAATTTATCAGACAGGGCAAGTTATAGAAATAATTGCCTCACTGCTTCACCAATTATAAGGAACCTGGGGGAAACTATACTAGCCGATTGCCATCAAACATAAGGAACTTAGCAGGGAAAGGAATAGGGAATTTTAAAATAGTAATTTCTACAAGCTGCCAACCAAATTATATATAGGTGCAGGGGACTATTTTAAAACAGCAAAGAGGCAACTAGGAGATCTTGAAATGGTTTCTTCCATTGTTTTCGCTGCCACCTTTTTGTTTGGTATTCAGGCTGAGTTGTATGTGAAGAGTATACTTAGTAACACCCTTTTGTGTTACAGTAGTGTTTGTTTTGTTTAGAGGGTTTAAATCACAACGATGTTCATACTGAGGCTGTTGTATAGTGATAACAATAATAAAATGTTTATTTAACAGGCTTAGACTTCTGGTACAAAGGCGTAGTGGTTTCAGTAAGTACATAAGCTTCTGGTTACGTTTGATGTACAATTCTTAGATGGGTTCTGGGTTCAAATCTTGATGTTAACAAAACAGGAGATTATCTCAGAAATTAATCGCTGATAATAATTCCAAAGAAAATTCCCCCTTTTTGGAGCTTAGCCAATAGCCTAGCCTTCCTCAGGGACAAAGGACAGACCACAAACAAGGTCCTGTTCCACTATATGTATTCCTAGCTAATTTCTCTAGCTCTTGAATACCACAAAAGATTAACCAAGCTCTCCTATCTAACATCAACCAACTGTTATCACCAACTGACAAACTCTCCCCCAACGGACAAATTTCAAACTGCCAACTCAAGCCTCAGTTCAAAAGGAACAATTTTTTGTTTTCAAACGCTAGTGAGGGAAATCCAGGCCGGGGAGAGAGGAGGGGAACGGGGCCAGGGGATGGAGGGAGGGAAGTGGGCAGGCAAGGAGGTGGGCCCAGCCTAAGCCCCGGGCTCTTGTAGCACCACACCCTGCCCGGTATGCCTGGCACTGCCTCATGCCCACGCCTCCAGGAAGACTGGAGGCTCAGAAAGATTGAATGAAGGGAGAGATCGATAGGAGGGAAAGAAAGGAAGGGGTTTCCCCAAAACACACTGATTATTATTATTATTATTATTATTATTATTATTATTGTCATTATTATTATCATCATCATTATATAAACAGGTATTATTATATAGATTATTATTATTATTAATATATTATTTTTACTATTATACTAGCCGTCCCCTACCATGCGTTGCTGTGACCCAGTCTGGTGATCTGGAAAATAAAGTAATGAGAAAGCATTGGTTTCTAATATATGTAATTTCTTTATGCTTGTGGGTAAACCGAATTTCTTGTTGCTTCTTTGTCAGTGTTGATGTGGAGTGTCTGGTTTGCCTACTCTGGAACAGGCAACATATCATTGTCCTTCTTTAGGGGTCCCTTTCAGATCTGGGATACTATATATATATATATCTCTGTATATCTATCTATATCTATGGCTGGATGGCTTTTTGTCAGGGGACCTTTGATTACATTTTCTTGCTCTGGTGAAGGGAGTTGGACTGGATGTCCTTGAGTATTTTCTGTTGGTCATGGGGGTCTCTGTGTGGGAAGTTTGCCCCGATTCTATCATTGGTGGGGTTTAGAATGCTCTTTGATTATAGGTGATCTATGAATTCCAGTAACTACAACTACCAAATGTCAAGGTCTATTTCCCCCAAGCTCCATCTGTGTTCATATTTGGGCACATGGAATATTCATGCCAAGTTTGGTTCAGATCTATCATTGTTTGAATCCACAGTGGATGTGGTTGAACTACAACTCCCAAACTCAAGGTCAATGCCCACCAAACCCTTCTAGTGTTTTCCGTTGGTCACGGGAGTCCTGTGTGCCACGTTTTGTTCAATTCCATCATTGGTGGAGTTCAGAATGCTCTTTGATTGTAGGTGAACTATAAATCCCAGCAACTACAACTCCTAAATGACAAAATCAATTTTTTTGAGTTAAGGACAAACATTGGGTTGTTAGGTGTATGCTGTCCCAATTTGGTGTCAATTTGTCCAGTGGTTTATGAGTTCTGTTAATCCCACAAGCAAACATTACATTTTTATTTATATAGATAGGCCAGTATTATTATTATTTACAGCATTGTTGCTGTTGCTGTTGTTGTTATTATTATTATTATTATTATTATTATTATTACTATTATTATTATTATTTAGACTATTAATAATATAAATAAAACTGTAAATGTTTGTTTGCTCAAAACCTTAAATCTCCCAAAAATTAGAAACCTGCTCTTTCTCCTTTCTTTTCCATTTAATCAGACTGGACCACAGCAACGCATGGCTGGGGACAGCTAGTAACACATAAAAACCAAACCATAAAATAGCACATAATAATAATAATAATAATAATAATAATAATAATAATAATAGTAATAATAATTGTTGCTCTTTGGCAGTAAAGGCTCAAGACCTTGGGAAATCATAACTCCCAGGACTTGGTGGCAGTCAAAAGTGATGCCAACCGCATCAAATGTACCCATAATACCAACCTTCAAACAACAGTGCCATCTATACAAGAACACCAAGACTCAATTGGTACAAATTTAATCTGAGAATGGAGCCCCCGGTGGTGCAGTGGGTTAAACCCCTGTTCCGGCAGGACTGAAGACCGACAGGTCACAGGTTCGAATCCGGGGAGAGGTGGATGAGTTCCCTCTACCAGCTCCAGCTCCTCATGCGGGGACATGAGAGAAGCCTCCCACAAGGATGATAAAACATCAAATCATCTGGGTGTCCCCTGGGCAACGTGCTTGCAGACGGTCAATTTTCTCACACCAGAAGTGACTTGCAGTTTCTCAAGTCTCTCCTGACACGACCCCCCCCCAAACCTGAGAATTAAAAAAAAACAAAACAAACAATCTTCCAGGAAGAAAAACGTGTTTGCAATTTATAAGAAAGTCAGTTCTAGCCAGGCTTTGGAAAAAAAACTCGCATTGACTCTTTCTGGGCGTTTTGCACATTCCTTTGGCTGTCAACCTGTCATTGGATGAGTCATGGCCCTCCCTGTTCTCTTTCTCCCCAAATCCTTTTTTTCCCTCTCTTTTTGATTCAAAGCAAGGAAAGGCAAAGCAGCCTTTGCAAACCTGAGTCACAACAGCCAGGTTGAAGCCACCCTTCCTTTTGATACTGGAGCTTTGCAAACAGGGTTTCCTCCCCCCCCCCCCCCCCCCGTTTTAAAAATAATAAATTATACAAATCACACACAACTAACATTAACACAACACATACAATAAACCAGTTAAACAATTATGTGTGTGTGTGTGTATGTGGATCTATATAAATAAAAATGTTATGTTCATTTGTGGGATTAACATAACTCAAAAACCACTGGACGAATTGCCACCAAATTTGGCCACAAGACACCTACTAACCGAAGGAGTGACCATCACTCAAAAAAAAATTGAGTTTGTCATTTGGGAGTTGTAGTTGTATGTGGATCTTATTGCCAGTGTGACGTCTGTACTCGTCACTATTTTATTGAGATTGGTCATTGCTCTCTTCCCAAGAAGTAAATGTGTTCTGTTTTCAAAAGCTCATTAATATTTCACTGGCTCTTGGCCAATCAGAATGTGGATCCAGACTTGCCCCTCTCTCAAAGAATAATGGGAGGGAGCAGGAGGTTTTAAATATTTTCAAACTGTGTAAGACGTCATGCTTTTGTTTGTATGCTTTATGCTTGTACATTCCGAAGCATCTGCTTGCACTTGCATCCCTTCTGGCTGAATTGCATTAAATCTCTGTGGGCTGTCTTCAACTTGGTGAATTGCTTCCCTATCCTGGTCCACTCAGTTTAGCTTGTGCTCGCCAGGCACAGATCTTCTTAACTATGGTCCTAGCTTAAAAATCCATAGGGTCTAGCCAACAGCTAAACTGAAGGGACATGAAGGCCCCTCTCCACAAAAGGAACTTGATGCTTTCTGGTTTTGGAAGACTAATCAGGGCCAGCCCTGGTCGGTGCTTGGAAGGGGGGCTGACAATGAATGTTTTAGAGGAAGGCCCTGATCAACTCAGTTCTGCTTAAGAAAACCCTACAAAATTCATGGGCTTGCTGTTAAGTCCATGGGTAAACTGAAGGCATCAGATGCCATCTCATCATGGAGGCTAAGCAGGACCAGCCTGGGTTAGGACGTGGATGGGAGACCACTAATGTATCCCAAACGCTGCAATGCAGATGAAGTAATTTGCAAAACCACCTCTAATGAGCCTCTGCTTAAGAAAGTGTCAGAAAAAAACGTGATTTATACTTTTCTTCTTCTTCACACCCTCCCTATGCTGCGCACTGGACTAATTGTGTAAGGGCAAGCTATAAAAATCAACACAACCATTGGAGAGTATTTTATCAGAAGTCAGCAGAGTTTTACTGCACAGGCTCTGACCTTGTGCCTCACTATTTTAAGAAAACACATTGGTTTTCATCAAACTCAG